TCTCTCTCTCTCTCGATTCCCCGGCACGCAAGCTACACACTCAAAAAAAAAAAAAAAGGAACAGTCGGCTTTTCTTTTCCTTTCGCTTCATGAGGTACTGATCGCCATAGTGCACACGACACACTCACGGCCAGCAGTCCCCCCCCCTCGAGTACTTGCGATTCCTGACCTGCCTCTGGTGCGGCAGGCTCCCGTTTGTAAAAGGGTTATAACCAGCTGCGGGCCAGGGTGTACGTAAATGGACTTAACAAAAAAAAAAAAAAAAAAAAAAAAAGGGGAAAAACAACAACAACACCATCAGATCACGGCTAAGGCAAACAGATACGGATGCTGAATCAACAATCGTTGACACGTGGCCTACCTCCCAAAACAGATGCTTGAATCGCCAGGATTGGACAGATCAATCAATCAATTACAGTGATTACTACTCTAATAATTGGGAGCCCGCCTTGCCTCTCCCAATGCCGCTAATCCTCCAATAGACCATGGCGCGCAGTGCTCTGTACTCGCCCGCGCCCCCGGTCTTTCGATGCTCATGTGGGCGCAGCAGCTGCCGGTAATCTTCGCAGTTTCCCGCCAAAATGGCTCTCGCTCATTGGAGATCGTTGTGTGATTGCCATCTGGCAAGGCCGGCGACACGTGGCAGGCGGAGCGTCACGTGGGGAGTCCTCCCACGCACGCACGCCCCCTCCAGCGGCGACCCTCGCAGGCAACGGGGTCTCCACCCCGCCAAAAGAGTTTTCGGGAAGCCAACCGACAAAAAAAATCAGCACCACAAAAAGGTGGTAGCGGGCTTGTCGCTTCCCCAATTTCACGGTTGCCAGGACGACAGGACGTAATTTCACGGTTGGCCCTCTGAAAGGGAGTCCCTGTGAAAGAGGGTTAAAAAAGGTCCATGTGCCAATGGGGCCTATTGGGAGGTACCTCAGTTGGTACACCAAAGAACTTTGAAATACAGACCCTAAGTTCGAATCCCAAACAGCTTAGGTAAGTTCGCAGCCTGTCAGGGTTGCATTTTATGCCCCTGGAAGCTTTCAACGCCACTGCAACGTTCAACGTCGGAGGGTGGGCATTTTTGTTTGAGGGCTTGGCAAGCGGCTGGGCACGCGGTCGTGAGAAAAAACGGCACCAGGGCCTGGAAGTTGGAAATGCCGAAGAACGGCCCGGCCCAGGCCTGCAGCTTTCAGGCCCTGCCAGCCCACTCCTCCCCAGCAGGCCTCTCTCTCTCTCTCTCACACACACACACACACACACACATGCACGTGTAAGTCAAAGAGCAGCGCATGAGCTGCCCACTCCCACTCCCTCCACCCTCTCTCTCTCTCTCTCTCTGATTCCCCTTCTTTGCACTACCACCTCTCTCTCTCTCTCTCTCTCTCTCTCTCTCTCTCTCTCACACACACACACACACACACACAGATATACACACACTCTCTCACATACACACAGTCACTATCACAAATACACACACACACTCTTAGAGTTGTGTATAGCGAACATGACAAACGCCATCGACAAACAAACTACGGGATGCGCACCCGTGCCCTCACGGTAAGTCTAGATAACTATGAAGTTACCTGCGGCTGGCCAGTTCGCAGCCCGTCAAGGGTGCGCTTTATACCCCTGAAGCAAATTTCCATCGTTTGGTCGTACCAGTCGTCCATTCGGGTCCAAAGGGTGGTGAATTTGTCGTTGAGCAATTCATGGGGAATGGAGGACTGGTAGCTGCTTGAAGGAGGCCGAGTAGGTCATGGTCCTCGAGTCGAGCATTTCAAAATAGAAACGGTGAGGGTCCACTTTCTCAAATTTCTTGAATAAAAGTGCACTTCTAATAGCCCGCATACATGTTGTATTTCAATACAACGCGCACATTTTCTATTCGAATTTCGGAGAAAAAAAAATATAGTAATCGAATAGAACATTACCTTTTCTTTTTTTCGAGGTTAGCGCCTGCCCTTGTGCTCTCTGTTACTAACATGCTGCATGCTGGCAAGAGGCTTCTGGGAGTGGATAGACTCCCTATGGTGCTTTGCCTATGGCCCAAAAAAGTTTGGACCGAGGGATTCATCATGCTAAGGAGTAGTATACCGGATACCCAACACAAGATTGTCAATTGCCTACCGCGTGGGCGCGGGAAACACAACCCTAAGGGACTATGTTTCTTTGTTTTCCTTATATATATCGTCAAACAGAGCTGCCCAGTAAACCATAGGCAGAGGGGAAGAAGATGACAACAAACGAGGGGATATATATATATAGAGTTAGATAGAACTGCCCCGTAAACCGTCAAAGAGGGGGAGAAGAGGATAACAAATGAGGGGTTGTGACAAACTATTTGGTCGGATTCCTGTAGACCTCACCAAGGCAAACATCACACCGGGGGGAAATAGTCATCCCCCCATAGGCCTTTTTTAACCCTCTACAAACGTAATTTTCCCTTTTATTACTTTTTTTGAAAGGGGCAATGGCCTTGAGATATCATCTTGAAATTGACTAACCGTATATATATATATATACAGAGAGAGAGAGAGACATAAATACATGCACACTTGTTTTTTCTCCGTGGTAGGAGCGCAGAAGTATGAGGTTGTGTGGGGTCTGGAAGGAGTGGCATTCTCACTCAAAGAAACTAATATTTCACTCCTTGTGCTAAGGGTAGGCTAATTGCAGAGACCCCAGACCCTGCTTGCAAGGCCTGGGAACCACTGTTGCTGACGGTCATATCTAAGCGGTTGGTCCCGTCGGGGGCGCTGTTTTCCCCATAAGTGAAACTGGTTAACTTGAATGCTCCCAGCCATTCCATTTTCAGGTAGTAGACCGTGAGGAACCTGGCCTCTTTCTTTGATTGAAAATGTATAGTCTTTCTTGCAAAAAAAAAAAAAAAGAGAAAAAGAGAGAGAGGGGGAGGGGGGAGGGGGGAGGGGGGCGGCTACCAAAGAAAGAGAGAGAGTCAATTTGTCACTCCCGCCAGTAAAAACCAGTTCACTGTCTCAGATACGAGTGCATCTTGACATGCTCGGAGCCAGGTGCTTAGATTAAAAAAATAAAAAATAAAAAATATAGTCACTCGCACTGGCCCACTCTCTCCGTCTGCATGGGTTTGCATACAGACACCCAAATAGAATGAATCGGGCTAACGATTGCGTTCAGGTTCTTATCTCTTACATCTCTCTTTGTCTGGTCAGTGTTGCTCTAGGCCCATGTGTCTGCAGTGCACTGTGACCCGACTCGACTTTTCATCACATGCAGGTAACGAGAGTGTGGATGGCAAGCTCCCTCCTGTAGGTTTAAGCTTCCTGCCTGTAACTGTCTTGTTGTTGACGTCACATCGAACTATTTACGTCATCTCCTCCCTTGAGTATTGATGTCACTCACACAGTGCACTGCGGACGCTTCCGAGTCGAACGCATCTCCGTGGTTTGCGGACGCCTTTGACATATCCCCGTCCCCCCCGTGTTTTTTTTTAGTCTCGCTGGGCGTCCTCTATATTAGCACGGATAGCCTGTAGCGCAAATACAAGGGAATCGCTCAGGTCTGCTGAGCCACTAGCACCAAGTTTGAAAACAGAATGCTAGCACTATCGGTACCAGCAGTATAGCAGCAGCAGATCCGTTGGTATCTAGGATTTAAACCTGGTAATCGCCTTAGGCGTACTTTGGTCCCACTCCGTAATCCCGGTAGTAGTACAAATTTCGAGCTTTGTTGGCTTGTCCACATCATCCCTGTCTAGGTGTTCCGTTGGCTAGCACTGAGTCTGGGCCTCATCCTTGATGTACCAATCTTTGCGCGGCAAGCTCCCTGACCTCTTTTGTCAATCAAGGCTTGAGTCGAACAATATCAGTAGCGGCAAGATCCCCATTTTAGCTCCACTAGTGACAATACCAAATGGTGAATCATTGTCGATGTGGCAGAAAGTCGGTGTCGAACCGTTGTCCTTGATGGGTAATATTTTAATGGAAATCTCAGTTGAAGTTATTGACCCATCGTCTGTGTGACCTGTGACGACCATCCAATCCATAATGGGTCCGTTGGAAGTATCTAGTCAACCAACCAGAAATGTCCGAGTGAAGTCTATTTTTTTTGCCGAAGATTATTGAAATGTCTGTATATCCAAAGATTTGGTCCATAGTCCTGGTACCAACGTGCCCGTACAGCCGCCCGCGCTCAACATTGAGCAGCAAGTCGAGCTGTGAAAAATAACCAGCCCCGTGTAGCATCCACAGACTAAATAATATATATATATATATATCATCATATATATATATATATAAAATAGGGGCGTGCATCCAAAAAAGATTCGTAATCAGGACCATAAAATAAGCAAAATTGGGGTTGCACAGACGAGAAACATAATCAAGAAGGGGAAATAAAATAATAATAACGATCGTGTACCTTGATTTATTTTTATCGTTCTTTTAAGTTTATTTCCGATTTTTAATTTTGTTATTAAAACCAAAAATAAAAATAAAAAAATCCCCGAATTGATTTGGCGGTGCAGACCGCAGGGAGGTGAGCGCGTGTGTTTCCGACCAAAATCAGTAGGAACGCAGATAGGGGTAAAATAGGTTGAAACAAAAGGTGATAAAAGGGACAAAATTAATACCTCTATCCGCCTGAAAATAGGGTTAGTATTGACAAGTAAAGATGCGGATAACAGGGGCTGGCCTGGATACCCTATTTTCGTAACGCGTGTCAGACAAAAGTCACCTCCCAAACGCACCTATACGACTGACATTATACCCAAATCTATGAAATCTATGTGCCCGACTGACTTTGGCCGCCCGACACCGTATTTTGGTTTTGTAAGCAGAATGCCTCATATATAAGTTTATCCTTTTATATTAACAAGATGCAAAGCATAACCAATAACCAACGATTCATATAAAATTCGACATTGATTTTCCTATTGAACACAATAAATATCTAAAAATAATTGATTGAAAACAATGAAAAAACTTTTGTGAACCTTTGTTTAAAGTTTGATTTTAGTGCTCACTTGAGACTTGTTATGTGCTATGCGGGGGACTTCTCCTGTTGAACACCATCAACGCTCGAGGTGGAAAAGATGGATCTTCTCAAAATCACAAAGTTTGTCAGACGGGCAGTAGATACAAATGATGTATTACCTACTTCGATTTTACATGCAGTGAATTGCCTCGGTGCACAAGATAAAGGATAAAATGTTAAAAGTATATTTCGGTGTTTGGTCTTTAAACATTACAAGTTTGCAGGGAATTGCCCCGGTGCCATACTCTAGCTTCCTCTGTCCTTGGATTCGGTAGGATCGGAGGCTGATATCTGTCTGAATGGCCTCTGGTTTGCCATTTTTTTCGTTTTCCCCACTCAACTTGGATCGTCATCCTGACGATTTTCTTCCTTCAAGGCAAACTGTTTCGTTCGTACTTCTCAAGGAAGCTAGAGTATGAAATTTGGTAGAGAGATGTTATGACGAAGGCATGTGTCCAGATGATATCGACCTGGGTGAAGTAACTGAAGACGAGGGAGGAAGGCGTTTTGTGGTGAATCAAGTAGTAGATGACATCAAGGAAAAATGCTTGAAGGATCAAACGACAATAATCGTCTTTCAAGGAAAGGCAAGGGAGCTTTCTAAAGGGATACAGAAAAATCTCGTCAGGGCGTACGAGGATGGATGGACAACGGTAAGGTTCTTCAACCCCGACTTGCGCAGAGGCAGAATCC